ATAAGTTTTCAATTTCTTGCTCTTGTTCTTTTCCTTCTGGCACCCCTACAAGTCAGATAGTAGAGTGTTTAAAGTTGTCTTATAGGTTCTTAAGCCTCTCCTCATTTTTCTGAATTCTTGTTTCTTTATTCTGTTTCAGTTGGATGTTTATTTCTTCCTTTTGTGCCAAGTTGTTGATCTGAGTTCCAGTTCCCTTCTCTTCACTGTTGGTTCCCTGTATATTTTGCTGTATTTCACTTTGTGTAGCCTTCCTTTCTCCCTTCATTTAGCAACTGAGCTCTATCAGCTCTATAGATGCTCACAGGACATTCTGTTGGCATCCTAACTACCAGTGTTTTGAACTCCGAATCAGATAGGTTGTCTGATCATCGCTTAGCTCTTTTTCTGGTGCTCTGATCTGTTCTTTCATCTGGGCCATATTTCTTTGTCTCAGTGTATCTGTTATGTCGTAAGGGGTGGGGCCTTAGGTGTTCTCCAGGGTGGGCAACCCACTTGCTGCATTGTGGCACAACTGTTGGGGAGGGGTCCAAGAGGGGTCAGTTCTGCTTGTTTGCTTGCTCTAGCTCCCCGTTTCCAACAAACTCTCCTGTGAGACTGGGAGTTACTACCGCCGTGGCAACCCCACCCCCGCAGTAGTTTACAGGAAGCTTTGAGTTTTAGTTTCCTGCTCAGCCAGCCCTGCCTCGCCTGCCTGTGCAGTCTGCCACCTTGCCACGTACCTTTTCCACTGGCTGGCCATCTCCCACCCACTCCTACCCTTCTGGGTGGATGTTTCCTTATCTACTTGGTTGTCAGGCTTGCATGCAGTTTGATTTTCTGGCACTTCTGGTTGTTTATCATTTTTTTGTTGGTTGTTATCTCTCTTTTGTTTGTGGGACAAAGCAAAGCATTTCTATCTATACCTCCATGTTGGTCATAACTTAAAACACTAATTTTTAAATGAAAGAATTCTTGAAATGGGTGAGGTTCTGTCTTTACCAAGAGATGATGTGAGAGTAACTCCGAGTCCATGTCCCTGTAACTGTCCCTTGTCCTGTAAGTGTCCTCAGCCAGCCCCAGTCCTTCGGGTCTGTGAGCACCAATCACAAAAGCTACTAGCAAATGTTTGTTAAAATATTAGTATTCAATGTTACTTAAGATTTTATTACTCAGTAATGTATAATGAGTGTTCTTATTCTCATAGGGAGTCTTTCACATCCCTTGTGGTTTTCATGAAGAGCTTCTCATGAAAGGTGAGACCTCTTGGAACACTCTCCCTCCCAGAATGCTCCCCTTGACCCCCTTGTCATCACCCAGGCCTCATTGCCCTCACCTCTGTTCACCTACGTCTCTGGTATTTGAAAGGTGCACACACAGGGAGCTTATACACATCACTTACTGTGGCCTGGTACTTCTGGGGACCTACCTTCTGGTATGGAAGTGATGTCATGCAGTCACCTTATGAAAAGGTCACACAGTTGGCTCCTCAGGGGTAGCACCATTTTCCTGCAGATGCTGGAAAGTATGGTTCATACCTGCCTTCCATGTACGGACGTCTGAGCTTTCTTTCTGGAATATTTCAAGGTGTCACTGGCAACAAAAAACAAGGAGCAGATGAAGTAATGATTTCTATGACCAATCAGAACACAGAAGAATTGTTTCATCAATGAACTATCACCTGTTTGGCATCACTGTCCTCCTGGTTTAGGGCTCCCAGGATGAGAAGGGATACAGAGTTTGGAGGGCAGAGCTGGTGAAAATGTCTTGCTGAGCTGGAGAAGATGATATCTTGTGGGTCATTTGATGTATGAACTTGGATTTGAACTCTGAAGGAAGGAAACTGTTCAGATCTATCCAGTTTTCCCCCCCAGTTTTTGGAGACAGTGTAAGAAATATAAAGCAATAAAATGTTTATTGCTCATATCATATAAAAAATAATGTTCTTAGTCTTTTCTCAAACCAGTCATTTAGGTAAGATATTTTTTATTAAACACAGAAAGATAAAGAAACTTTTCCTAATACCTAAATAAGTAAATTATGTTAAATATTTGATGATTTATTTTTAATTTTAGAAAAATGTGTTTTTAAGTGTACCCTATACATTTAAAGAGATATAACTGTTTTATCACATTATTTTTACATATTGAATAATTTTAATTATATGCAAAATGTTACTTTTTTGTGAATAGGTTTTTACCTATTAATTCAGAATATTTGCCCATTACATGACATGATTTAGACATACTTTAGTTCTCTTAATACCAGACTAGGATATCTTTTATCCCTAAATATGATTCTAGTTTTAGAAACTCAAAGCAAAGATGTTTAAAGAAAGAACTAACACACACACAGCTCAAATATGCATGATCATATTCACCTGCAAGTTTATTGATCTATTTCCTTTCTTGCTTGATTATAGAAATTTCCAAGTGCTTTCTACAGACTTGTTGCATAGAGTATAAACTGCAGTGTTGCACATCCCAGAGTCTTATTTCCAGCACAGACCTGGGAGTGACCCAAGCCCAGGTGTGGCGTTCCGCCTGCCCTCTGTCTCTCTCTCACATCGTGGATGGAGTTTTCCTACTTCCTGGCAGCTTTCAATGTTGGGAATGAAATGCTCTTCTAGTATCATTATTTTGAGTAACATTCTCGTGTAGTTTCAGCTGCTTTTGGAGATTTTGAATATCCTCTCCTGACATGAGATTCTTAAAATTTCACCATGATACATGAAGATGTGTGGCCCGTAATAATCATTCTGCCTCGGACACAGCTGAGTCTGGGTTTGCAGAAACTGGGTCTGAGAAACACTGTTAAATTTATCATTACATAGTTCAGAAGAGACGTGAACCCTGGCGGTCTGGTTTAAGAAGAAGGGTGATTACCCACCTCATTATGGTGTTTCACAGGACATGAACAAAATAAAATTGGTCCCTGGGGTTTTCTTTCAAAGGTCCAAAAGAGGTTTAATTAAAAGTGGAACCCAGTACGAAGTACCACAGGCCTGAGCCTGCTGCTGGTCTTCTCTCTCATTGGGTGCATTTGAATCTGTCTTTGTCTTGCAAGCTGGTTCTCGAAGGCAACATAATACTGTGCTAATGAGAGGACCAAACCTGAGATGTGTGGGACCTATTTTCTCCTCTGGCTTCCTGTCCCATGTTGGTGGATGCAGGTGGTGTTCCCTTAGGCCGTTATGGTGGGTCCACCTTGGGCTGACTTTAGGGATCTTAGTGTTCATTCGATAGTCATGAATTTCTAGAGGGGTCGCTAATCCTTCTGTGCTGGTGCAGTGGGTTCTTCAGGGACAGTCCATGAGGTTCACGTCACCACAGCTAAATGTTGCTGTGAAGTGTTACAGATGCCACAAAGCATGTGGGACTGTACATGACACTCTGTCCTCATTGCCTGTGTCCTTCCAGAAGGGAATTCACTGCTTTTCCCTAAAACCCCAAACCATTGGGTCACACAGATAATGAGGGAGCAGGCCCGGAAACACAGCCCTGCACCTGCCAGTCTCATGAGTTAACCTGGCTCCTTGGTGACAGCCAGTCTCCTCATTGGAGTGATGCCTCGGGTTTGGTTTTAACACAGAGAAACAAGGTACCACTTCAGTTATTTGTAGCTTAGTTACTTATAGCTTTATTTCCATTTTAAAATTTTTGTTGAATTCACTGGGGTGACATTGCTTCATAAAATCACACAGGTTTCAGCAATACAAGTGTATAGTACAGCATCTCTATATTGTGTTGTGTGTTTATCATCCAAAATCTAGTCCCCTTCCACCACATTTACCCCCCATCCCTTCACCCTCTTCTCCCTCCCCCACCCCGTTTCCCTCTGGTCATCACCATACTGTTGTCTGTGTCTACGGGATTTATTTTCTTTTATTTTTTGCTTAATTTTGTCATCTTTTTCACCCAGTCTGTGAAATCTCCCCATGACAGCTGTCGGTATGTTTCTGTATCTGTGAGTCTCTTTCTATTTTGTTAGGTAATTTTGTTTATTATATTCGAGATAGAGTGAAATTTTTCAGTGTTTGTGTTCCTCAGAATGGCTTATTTCACTTCGAATAGTACCCTCCAGGTGCACCCATGCTGTTGCAAAATGTAAGATTTATACTTTACGTTCATCTTAAAGTATTAATGATTTGGTATAACTTAAAAATGTTTATATTCAACTGATTTTAGTTAAAATCAGTTGAATTCAGTTGAATTAATTATGTATTTGAAAGGTACAAACCTAAAAATCATACATCACGCTCTGGTCTTTGAAAGTCTCCAAAACTCTTGAAAGCAGCAAAATCATGGAAATGATATTCAATTGGAACATCATTATGAAAGAGTTCTTTCTGGTTCTCAACATGTGTCATCTTACTTTTTGTGTATATTTATTCCAAATTAACATATTTCATGGTTCAAAGGTGATCTACGTTCAATACAGAAGACTGGGGGGAATACGGGACTGAAGCCCAACTCCTACCCCTGTTGTCTCTACATCCAACAGAGCTGTGGAAAGTGTGTCATTGCATGTCCTGCCGGTCTCTGCTCTGTAAACACATAGTCACAGTTCACAGCATGTTGCGAGAACATGTGAATGTGTTTATACTGATGCTGTGTTTTCATCAGGGCATGTGCCACTGCCCACAGTCATGCCCTGAATTGGACCCACCTGCTCCGTGTGACGTGTCTGAGAGCTTGCCTGCACTGGGGGGACAGGCTGCAGGCGATCACACCTGTCACCATCTCTGGTGTGTGTTTTGCTAGGACAGGTAATAACCGCTGATGTCTTCTCACCAGCACAGGTGTGACATAGTTTGGTTTCTACGTGTTTGTGAAGTGAATATATTTTGAAGATGGAGACAAGCATTTTTTCCCATTTCCTCTGCAACAAGAGTCTTAAACGGCCTCAGAAGTTTCGGATACAGTGTTGGGAAAGTTAGGGGAATGGTTGGGTGCAAGCGGGCCGTGAAGGGATGGCTTCTGATTTCTGGCCACAGATGTTTACAAACAGAACACGCAGCAGGGTGGTTTGCCACATTTTAATGAGATCCCTTTCAGAGCGATTCATTGTTTTTTCAGATTACAATGACATTTTCCACATAATATTTACCACAAATTCTCATTCATGAATAAACATGAGTTAAACTAAACTTGAAAAATTGAGAATTGGATTAATGATAAAAAATTCTAAATGAATGTATTTTAGTTTTCAGATTGCAATACAACCATCATTTCATTCACAAGCGGGATACATCAGTTTTCCTTCCTGACACATTACCCGGAATGTGGAACGTGCTGACTTTTGACGATACCCAGATCGACAGATGAACTCAACAGTATCATTTGTTTTCGAATAAAGTTTGTTGTCCCTTTTCCATTTTAACCGTATGTTATATTTTTCCATCATTTCTTCTGATATTACACATGCATCTGAAGGTAAAAAACAATAAACATAAAATATTAAGTAGCACATAAATATTCACTACAGACTCTTAAACTGTCATGTAGAATATTCTACACTGATTCAGGAATTTATTTTCAAAACCCATTCAGAAACAATTCATTGAGAAGCCATCATGTAGGTATAAGCCATTCAAAACTCTAGATGATGTAAAAATGAGGTACCGTGTGTAATAATTAAATGCTATCATCAAAGTTCTAATTTGAAGAGTATGACATGACAAAAAATCTTTTGTTACTGTACTGGCTTAAGGAGTTTTCAAACTTCATTTCTTCACATATTAATGTTTATTCATCAAGTTTTCAGTAGAATTGTTTATTACTTCAATACATTTTTACTGTAAAATGTAGACAGGAGTGATTTCCAGACTATTTGGGCTGGTGTAAATGGATTTTGACCCCAGTCCTGCCACTTCCAGTGTCAGGAGCACTGAATTTGCTATAAATGCCACAGAAGGGGACACATACTCAGGGGATCAGGAGTGCGGTCTGGCCCCTAGCAGGGTCAGTTAATGGGTCAGCATTGGTGTGGGTTTTGCCTCCTTTTCAGATTTTAATTGAGTATGAAGGTGCCAGTTTGTTGCTGGGCTCTATTCTGTTCCATGGTATATGCCTCCACTTATTTGGATTTTCTTCAGTTTATTTCCACAAAGACGTATACCTTTCTGAATACAGGTCTTCCTATAGTTGGTTATATTCCCAAGTATTTTAATTTTGGACAATTTTAAATGGGATTGCTGCCTCAGAGATATCACCTAAAACCTGTCAGAATGCCCATCATCATAAATCAACAAAGAAGTGATGGGGAGGATGTGGAGGAAAGGGAACCGTCCTGCACTGCAGGTGGGATTGCAGACTGGTGCACTGCTGTGGAAAGCAGAATGGAGATACCTCCAAAAATTAAAGGTCATACAGCCTTATGACCCAGTGATACCACCTCTGGGAATTATTCCAAAGAAACTAAACACCAAACACTAATTCAAAAGAATTAGTGGTATATATATATATATATACACCACTGTGTTCATAATAATATTCTGTACAATAGCCAAGAATTGGGAGCAACCCAAGTGCAGGAGGTGATTGAATAAAAAAGCTGTGGCACATTTACACAGTGGAACGCTACTGAGCTGTATGAAGGAAGAAAATCTTACTGCTGAAATGGCATGGATAGATCTGGAGAGCATTAAGCTAGGTGGAAAAAGCCAGTCAGAGAAAGATAAGCATCACTTGATTTCACTTACACGTGGAATCAAATGAACCAAATAAACTAACAAACACAGTGGAGACAGAGTGATGGATGCAGAGGACAGACTGACACCTGTGGGTGGGGGTGGGGGTCAGGAGGGGCTGGGTGAGAGGGTGAAGGGATTAAGAAAAGGAAAAAGACTCCTAAACAAGGACAGCTGTGTGGTGACGCCAGAGAGAAGGGGTGGAGGAGGGAAGTGGCCGAGGGTGAAGAGCGATGGAGGGCGAGGGAAGGAGAGCTGACTTCGGGTGGCGAGCACACAGCACAGTGTGCAGATGACCCCTGTGAGAGTGTGAGCCCGATGCAAAATAATTGCACTAACCAACGTCACCACAGTACATTGAATAAACTTGCAAAAAGAAAAAAAGAGTGTCTGAACATTACTGTGTCAAAAAAGCGATTTCATTGTTTACATGGGAATTTTCTCAGCATCTGGCCTTATACATGAGTGTTAGAATGTCCAGCCTCTGGCAGGACAGCTGTCTGAGAACACAGTCTAGAGTACCCCTGCAGGAGTGCTAGACTATGTATGAGCACTGAAACATGCCTATAATTGTCTCAGGATCCGGAAGAATATGGAGAACTTACCTAGACATTTTGGGGGTTCGGACCACTTAGCATCACTGCAGGTTACATATTTAGGACCCTGAAGTTCATAGTAGGCCTGGCATTGGTATTCAACTCTTGACCCCGGAGGGTAGGCATCCAGTGGGAAGGATATGATATCTCCATTGCTAACAGCTGGAGGAGGCCCACACTTTTCTGCAGATTCTAAAAAATAGCATTTTCAATGTTGAGGAGAAATTCTAGTTATATTGCAGACTATGTAAAGGAAGCTCCATAGGAACTCTGAAGTCTGTCCTGCATTGTAAACCTGTGACTTAAAAGTGTGGTAGATAATTTCCATTCAAATGAGCACTGTGTTTAAATAGACTTTTCGACTCTTGACAAAGGAAGCACCGGAAATAAAATACTTACTGAAGCAGCTTGGCAAGTGGGACCAGCCATCCTCCCCACACAGCAGGGAGCCCATAGTGTGTCCATCTCGGGTTTCGTACCCATCCAGGCACTGGTAGTCCAGCGTGTCATTGGGCCTAAACACTTTTCCAGTGATGGTGGCTGTGGCATTCTCAAACAGAGGCGTGTCACAATGTTCTAGAGGGAAGAAGAGTTGACAGTTGTATATCTAAGGCCATACCATGGATAATGCAGCAAGGAGACCTTCTTCTGGAGGAAATCACCGTGACCCTAACTGTGTGACACCAACAAAGTATCACTTGAAAATGCTCTGACACTCAGCGTCACTCTGTGCTGGAGCACCTACCGCACATCTCCCTGTGCATTGTTTTCTTCTTTTGATGTGCCAAGCACCCTTTTATTTACATTAACTGCATTTACATTTTTCTTTTTATTAAATCGTTCTTCAAGTACACTTGTCTCATTTTCTCCCCTACCCTTCGCAGCAGCATGGATGGAACTGGAGAGCATTATGCTCAGTGGAATAACCCCTGTACATTGTTTGCTGTCACTCGAAGCCTGTCAATTACAGTGGGACATTTAGTCACATCAATTTTTAGCTGCATGTCACAGGCTGTTACCTAATCACATTATCATAATGTTATGACATTATCATTTTCAGGGCAATGAAATTTGTGAATGTTTGAGGTAATATATGTGATTGTGCAGGAGACATACTGAGATATTCTAAGGGTGCATATCTTACGGTGAAACTGTAGGCACTGGATATACAAGCCTGTCATCCCCATTTCTACTCATGCCCCTGGAGTACCGTCATCCCACTGTCTGGACTGTCCTATCAGGGACTGTGGTCCATTCCTGGGGAGCAGCCTCAGAGCAGGTTCCCATCAGTGCAGATGCAGCCCTTCCCCCACGGGAACCTCCCAGGGCTCTCCCTGCAGGTCTGCTCCTTTTCTCTCAGGGCTTCCCGGTTGGACTTGACCCACTTTTCCTCCTTCCCGCTCTGTTTGCGCTGCACTGGCCATCTGCTGTCCTCAAATACACAGAATTCCTTCCTTGCTTAAGTCATTTCACTTGAACATCATCTCTCTCTGAAAGCCGTCCTTCCAATGATCATGGGGCCGCCTCACACTTTGAGGGCTTATGTGTTAACTTCCCTGCTGGGCCTTACTGTGCAACGCCCACACATGAGCAATGGTCTGTTATTTTCTGATGTGACTCCTCTCATGTCCTGAACGACAGCATCACTCACACTCACTGATCACCTGGTCTTGTTTTTTTTTTTTCAGTATCCTTATATTCTGTTGCATAGGCTTTAGTTTTTTTGAAAAGAGTTTTTTTTTAATATCTATGAATATGCTTAGTCCTCCACATTCTCTGAGAGAATGAATGGTCAGTGTTTAAACCCCTCCACTTATAGAGAAAGCAGGAGAAAAAACAGCTTTCAGGTCCCCTGACTGTCATGTCGGATGGGCTCACTAGTTCCTAAGTTCCCATCCACATTCAGTGATCACGGCTTCTCTGTAGACGTAGAGGACTCCTGTTAAAGTTCAGCTCTAGTATTTCATGATTTATAATACAATACCCATAAACTGAATTTTCTATATTTCAAACAACACCCTCAAAACAACTTACAGACTCCTGTCAACTTAAAATGTGAAAGCCAGTTATAAATGGTGTATTAGAGTCTGAATTTACTACATCCTAGGACTAATACAAGTATATTATATGTGAAATGTTTGTGATATGTATATGACTTTGAAAATCAGTGTATTTGTTTATAATTTCAACTATACTTTAAATTGCTTTTCAATGAACTAATTAGCATGAATTCAATGCAAATACTCAAGTAAAGTGACTCTAACCTGTTTCATTTAACATTCAGTGGCATTCATGAGCTATAGTTCTATTGTTACATAATTCAATAAAGTAACATCATCTATTATTGTCAAAAAATTAAACTCATTTGGACATAATTTGAATGGAAATGTATTTATGTCTCTAAGACAAAAAGATTTAATGCATTGAGTTCAGATTTGATACATAAAACTTCCCGCAGATATAAGTCTGGGTCTCGGAAAATCCCAAACAGATTATCTCAGAGCAGTTCACTTACTGAGGCAAGAGAGATCTGGGGACCAGCCATTCTCCGTGCATGTGACTAAGCTCTCCCGATTTTGAAGACTGTAACCAGGGTGGCAGAAAACTCTTAGAGATTCTCCGGGTAAATATGTTTGTTCCTTAGGTGGAGAATGTCCATGCTCCAAATTGTTGGCAACACATTTTCCTAAGAATGGTAAATGATAATGAAAAAAATGAATTTGGTCAAAATAATATATTAAAAATTATCTTTGGGGAATTTAAATTAGAATGTATAAGCACCCAAATAAGAAATAGCTTTAAAAAATTAGAGCTGCTCCCAAGAGATTTTTAAAAAGAAAATCAATATAAATATGATTTATCTGTAGTTTTCACAATTAAAATATGTATAAATGACATAGATACCCTTGTAGAGTCTATTTATGTCTCATGCTTTTAATGAAAAACCTCCAATAAAACCAACAGCCTACATGGGTCTTCCTGCTCTCAGAACTCTGCCTTCCACCTTATGCTGGTCACACAGCCTCATCGTTCTCCCTGGTGTGATTCCCCTCCTCTCCGAAGTGTCCCCAGGGGCACAGTGAGGAAGGGGTTTACTTACGGAGACAGGGAATGTCAGGCGACCATCCATCTGTTGTACAAGTAATTGTGCCCCAGTTGTCTCGTGTAGGCGGCACATAGTTGCCATCACAGTAGTAGTAAAACTGTTTTCCCACGAAAGCTGGGAAGTATCCTCTATAGCTGCTTCCCCAGGATAGGTACCCATGCTTTATTTCTGGATATTCACATGGCTTAACTTGCAATCAAAACAAAGAAAAACAACATAAATTATATTTGCCTTTATAGAATCTAATGAGAGATAAATGGTTTCCTTGATGACTTATGTTATTAACATAGTTACACTCATTGCATTAGGGTTTCTAGGACAAGAAAGGTTGTAAACGCAGATGATGTAAAGAACACATGTTTCTGGTCATTTCATGACGTGCACATGCAGAGTTCATCTGTTGTACACCTGAAACCACACGGTGCTGCCTGTCAGTTCTGTCTAGGTGAGCACACAGACACTCTTTTTGTGGTGGTCACGCTCACTGAGGTCTGTGTCACCGTGATGCTGGAATCCTCTCTAAGTGCCACACACTGTCACATTCATGTGGACATTTGTCCTGAACTGACACTGAGCATCATTTTGTTTCTCACTCATGGAGTGTCCAGCTGCAATATGGACGCCTCTACAGGGACCTGATACGTGAGCAAGAGGAACGGGAAGGTGGAGGCAGAAAGCTCTTGGAAAGAGGTCAAAGAAACCTCCCAGAAATAAATGCCCTGATGGTGTGGGTGGCACTTTGTGACATGTGATGGTGTCAGAAAATCAACTATGTCTTCCACTCTCCTCCCTGAGAGAAGGAGCCCACTGCCCCCACCTTTGAGTGTGGGTTGGACTTAGGGACCCTCTTCTAAAGGGTATAAATAGCTCAGATGGCAATGTGTGAGCAGGTCATAGATGGCATGGAGGTGTCCTCTTTGTGTCTCAGATCACTCAACATGGGGACATTAGAGCCACATAGGCTCCTATGGAGACACCAGGAGGTTAGGCCCTGAGGCCCCTGCACTACCAGGGAGGTACCCACTTGGGAGCAGGTCCCAGCTGCACTCAGCCCTGAGCCCACACTCTGGGCCAGTGTCCCAGTGCCGCCCAGAGAATGACCGGGCACTAGAGGGCTGAGCCTCTCCCCAGGGCTGACCTTGTGACCCTGAGTCAGGAGAGGGTGGTTGTTCTCAGTCAGTATTTACGGGAAATTTTTAGAAAGGAATAAATAACTAATATACTTGTTTTTAGACAATATGAGCCTTAGCCAATGTTTTAGTTTGGGTACTACAAATGTATCACTTACAGAAATAATTAGACATGTATGCACATATTTAATATTGAATAGCAAAACTTAAAAGTTCCTCAGTTATAATATATGACTCTATCCTTCATATAACTGGCTATTTTGAAAAGCAGAGGATGTTATAAAATCTTCCACTTTCCATTCTCTGTAGTCAATGATGGTGACTTCTTATGTCCCCATTTTTATGTTTAAGAGAAGTAATTCAGAATTAGGAAGCAGATCATGATTTGAATTGAACTTACGGCTACATCTGGGAGGAGGTGCCCAGCCTCCTTCAGTGCATTTTGCTGTATTTCCGTGGGAGGAGGGATAAAGGCCATTGTCACAACGGTATGTGATTACATCTTCCAGTCTGTATTTGGTCCTGAGAGGTGCGTAGACACCATTGGCAATAGCTGGAGGATCACAGGTTGTTTCTGAAAAGAGAAAGGACAGGTGGATAATGCAGAAATCACTGTCCAGGAAAAGAGTCAAGTCCATGAGAATACAGGGAATGTTGAAAGAATCCCTCAGACAATTTGGGGTATCAGCTAGCTTTCCTGTCACCCATTTTCCAGTCAAGTTTTCATGAGCATATTCACACGACTCTCTAATATCTGTGCAGAGACTTTCAGCCTGTAGAACACAGAAAACTATTTATTTTATTTGCCCTGGAGATGAATATATGACAATCTTCCTACAAGATACTCTCTGCTGTGAAGTCACAATACTCACTGTTCCTAGGAGTCAATTCATTAAACCCAGAGACACAAGCAAGTAGGAACAACAAGAAGTTGCAGGTTGGAGGGAGCTGAGTGTGCAGCTCTGTGTCCAGCTTACCTTGTCCATGAGTCCAGGAGACCCACAGGGTGACAATGACACTGATCAGGGACAGCAGCATGGTGGGCATCCCCGATGGCGTATCAACACAAATATCCCAGCCGTGCTCCGTGGGGTGTGAGTCTGCCTCGTGAGCGGCTGTTAGTGTGAGCCTGAATTTCAGGGCACTGCCAGGATGTTTCTTCATTGATGTCACTTAGTGAATATCAAATTTCAGAGTTTTGCAAGATCCGTAAATTTTCATTAATTTTTTCACAATTATTTCTTGATTTCACTTCCTCATTGTGCTTCTCCAACTTTTCTTAGGAATATCAAGACTAGGCAAAAAAAGGCAATATGAATCACTATGTTTTAAAATAAACAACCCTTGGAATGGGCGAGGTTCTTTCTCCACCCAGAGACGGAGTGGGAATAACTCCGAGTCCACGTCCCTGTAACTGTCTCTGGTCCTGTATGTGTCCTCACCCAGCCTCAGTCCTTAGGGTCTGTGAGTACCACGCCGTGTATCTGGACCCGCTCCAACCTCTGTACTTTCTTGTCCATAGAAAAGCACCAATTTTTTGGTGAACCTTTAATAGACCACTTCACAGTGTACAAGAGTTTCAGTGCATCCTGGGCACTGAGACATTGGTAACTAATGTGCTTTGAGGTACCTTGTCATTTAAGGTGCACTACATTCAGAGGCTTACAATAGAAAAATGGGAGGTATGAAGTCTCACCCTGAGAAGTAGTTTGACTAATATACTTCTGCTCAATTGTAATTTGGAGACTGGTTTTAAGACACTGCTTTCTATTTGATGGGGACTCTAAATGTTTTTAAAATGCTTTCACAATAAGCATCGAGAAAATAAAAATTCAGTTCCTATATTAACTTAGCATCAGGTATATTGTTCAGTGACTGGCGAGTATAAGATTTGCAGCTTTTAAATAAGGTGTTACTTTTGTCAAATAGAAGAGCAACTGCCCGGCACTGTGACACAGTTCCGACCACACTCAGGGGAGCAGGACGAAGGATGGATCTTTGTCACCCTCACAAACTCCTTCCCTGGTCCAGGGCCCCCTGCTGACAGCAGCAAGGGGACAGAGTGACAGGCCTGTTCTCACTCACTGCTTTACCATCTAACGTTTTCATTGTGTTAGCTCCCCTAGTAAATCCTAAGCTCACATGTTTTCACTGTTAAACCTCCAATCCAAGACGCACAAAGCCACACTGTCAGGCATACTGAGTTCAATAATCTGTAGGCAAGTAGCCCTGGCTGGTGTGGGTCAGTGAATTCAGCACTGGCCTGTGAACCAAAGGGTCAGTGGTTCGAGCCTCAGTCAGGGCACATGCCTGGGTTGTCCCCACTTTGGGGGTGTGCAAGAGGCAGCTGCACTTCTGTGTTTCTGTCCTTCTCTTTCTCCCCCACTTTCCCTCTATCTAAAATAAATAAAATAAAATCTTTTAAAATATGTCTAGGCAAGTAGTCCTATCCCTGAAATGGTGAATAATGCTTTTCTCAGTAAAGTCTAAATGATGACATAGTTTATTTTATTACCTTTGTGAGAAGATTAGGTTGAAAGTTCAGACTACCGTATTGTACTGATTTCTCTGAAATAAGGTAGAAAAGAGCTGGAAATGTCTGGATATTTTTAAGAAGTGATGAACAAGTACGGGTGGCTGGTGGAAGCTCCTTCATTCACATCTGGCAACTGCACTGTCCCTTCCCGACACACGGCTTCAAGTGACTGCCCTGATGTCGCTGTACTCTGTCCTAATTTACACGTAAATTCTATGATATCCCGTTTTTGCGTAGTGTGTCTTGTCCTCTTTCCCTTTCAACTGTATGTCATTTTCATTTAGGGTTTCTTCAGATATGACACAGGGATCTGAAAGTAGACAAAGAAATAAAAACAATGAGTAATCTTTCCTATTGTGGACTAAGAAAGATCCGAGCTAACGAATACATGAGGACAACATGAAATGATGATGTTGTCTCAATTGCTAATATTTTTTAAAGAATTTTATTTATTCATTTTTAAAGAGAGAAGGGAGGGAGAGAGAGAGAGAGAGAAAGATCAATGTGTGGTTGCTGAGGCTATGACCTGCAACCCAGGCATGTGACCTAACTGGGAATCAAACCTGTGATGCTTCCGTTCACCGCCTGCGCTCAGTCCACTGAGCTATGCCAGCCAGAGCCCTCAATGGCTAATATTTATTAACATGGGCTAAGTGCTGTCCTTGGCACTTCCTGTGAGATCCTTCAGCTCCTTCAAGGGGCAGCTACTGCTACTCACACACAAGGAAACTGAGGCAAGGGCAGTTCATTCACACTGTCCAAGGTCATGGAGCTTAGCAGGGGGATAATGAATGTGGACCCTGGCACCTGACTCCAGAGTTTTGACCTCTGTTTCTGGTGTGCACGGCACCCGCCCCTGTGAGCTCATGTCCAGGGGAGGTATGTGAACGTGCTCTACATTGTCATGGTTTTCACTCTCTGTTTCCTATTCAGCTGGCAGTGACCACAAAGGCTCCAAATTCATTCACACTCTGCTAAGTTCAATCAATGTCTGCTTTTTTCTTATGCCCAAAATGTGGAAAGAGAACTATAGAAAACCACAAACTTTCTAATAAACAATCTTCTATCAAAATACACTTATATATACTATATATACCGATATAATCTTTATATCTGTACATCCATCTACCCATCCACCCACCTTACAATCCACTATTTTCTTCCTCCTTCCCTCCTTCCTTCCTTCCTTCCTTCCTTCCTTCCTTCCTTCCTTCCTTCCTTCCTTCCTTCCTTCCTTCCTTCCTTCCTTCCTGTCTTTCTTTCTTTCTTTCTTTCTTTCTTTCTTCTATCTATCTATCTATCTATCTATCTATCTATCTATCTATCTATCTATCTAATCTTTTTCATTCTCTATGGTCAGGACAGGCTGCAGAGAAGCACAGATATACACATAGAGGAGATTTGAATCCCATCTTGATTATGAACAAATTTCTTTGCCTCACTATATCCCTGTGTCCTCTGGTGTAAAAATCACTATAAATGTTTCCTTTTTAGGAATGTTTTGTGACATCAAAGAGTTTCTAGTTCATTACTACTGCAATGTGACTATAAGCAATATTTCATATGTTATAATATTGTTGTAGACCTCGTCTCTTTCTGTAAACAAGCTGCTACTGCATTGTAGAAATTATTACATGTGAGAAATTTTAACTTTCTTCTATTTACTGTATTGGGTTAGCATTGGTTAATAAGAGTACATAGGTTTCAAAGTACACAAGTCTATGTCACATCATCTGTATGTTGAATGTGTGCCCACTACTCCAAATCAAATCTTTTTCTGTCACCAGATAGTTGAACCCCTTTCCCTTTGCTACCCGCCCATGTCCTTTCCCTCTGAGAACCACCATACTGTTCTCTGTGTCAGTGAGGTTTTGTTTGTTTGTTTTCCTTATTACTTACTTGTTGTGTTTACTTGTTATCAACAGTTTTATGTCCTGCATTTAGTTAAATCATATGGTTCATGCCTTTTTCTGTCTGACATTTCACTTGCATGATATTCTCAATGTCCATCCAAGTTGCCACAAATGTCAGTGTTTCATCTTATAGCTGATAAGTATTCCATTTATACATGTACTGCATCTTTATCCAATCATATACCAAATTTTGAACACACCATGGGCTCCTCTCTCTCTTCTCTTCACCTAAGTATTTTGCATTTTAGTTCATGCCTCTCAGACATTGATAAGATCTTAGAAATAGCTCAAAATGATGTCCTCACACACCCCTTTAACTCTACATGATTAAACTTCATGCAAAATACATATAACCTGATAGGGTAGTCCAGCATGTCATTGGGATTAAATGCTTTTCCAGTGATGGTGGCTGTGGCATTCTCAAACAGTGGCATGTCACAATGTTCTAGAGGGAAGAAGAGTTGACAGTTGCATGTCTAAGGCCATACCATGGATAATGCAGCCAAGGAGACCCTCTACTGCCAGAAATCACCATTATCCTAAGTGTGTGACACCAGCGAAGTATCACTTGAAAACTCTCTGACACTCAGCGTCACTTTGTGCAGAGCACCCTACCACAGATTTCCCTGTGCATCGCTTTCCTGTCACTCAAAGCCTCTAAGTGTATAGAAGGGACACCTAGTAACATCAATTTTTACCTGCACATCACTGTCTGTTACTGAATTACACTACCATAGTATAATGATGTTATGATTTTAAGGACAGTGAAATTGTTGAATGTAACAGGTAATGTATGCATTTATGTTCCATACATACTTAGAATGTATATGTTAAAGTTGTAGTTGTTGGATATATAATGCATGTATTTACATACTGCACCCTCTCATCCAAAATGTTTCCTATAATAGAATATTTATCAAAACTGAGTGACTTGTGGTCAAGATGGCAATGTAGGCAACATGGCTCGCTTCTGCATATGACCACACCAAAATTAAAACTAAAATATAGAACAACCATTACTCAGGGCTGTCAGAAATTGAGTTGAATGGAAGCCTGGCAACTAAGATATTAAAGAAATCACATTCATCCTCTCTGGAAGAGGGGCACAGATGCAGAACAGACTGGAACCTCACCCAAATGTGGTGGATAAAAATTCGGGAGAGATATCTCAGGAGTGAGAATTTCCAGCCCCACACCAGGCTCTCCAGCCCAGGGTGCCAGTGCCAGGAAGATAAGTCCCCACAATCTCCTGCTGCAAAAACCAGTGGGAATTGAGTGGGTGGAAGAAACTTCTGAAGCTCCAAGCAGTTCCTCTTAAAAAACCCATGCACAGACTCACCTACTCAGACTCATTCTCTCTGAGCTCCAGCACCGGGTTAGCAGCTTGAAAGGCAATACTGGCATGCAGGGAGAGACTGAAGTTTCTCCAGCAAGGCGAGCAGAGACCTTTGTTCCTTTTTCAAACCACCCCACCCTGGAGCCCCTGAACCTGCAAATTGGTGCCATATCTGAGACTCCATCAAAATGGTCCACACTGTTTGACTTGCCTTGGAGATCCCTAGAGACCCCATCCCACCCAATTTACAGCCCCACCAAAGCTGCTTTATCAAATGAATGGCTGGTCTTGGCTGATGCTTCACAACTACCTAAATCCTCTCAAACCAGCAGCAGCTGGCTTCAGTGAGCCCCAGGCTCAGAACTAGCAGCCTAGATTCACAGCTTGGCTTTTCCTGGGAATCTCCAAACCCAGTGCAAGTAGCAGCCATTTCAGATTGCTTTACAGCTCAAGCAGGGTTACCCCGGGAAAAACACAGGTGGGGTTGATCTTGGCCTATACCACCTGGGAATCTCCAGGGCCAGTGCACCCAGTGGACATCTACAGATCATGTAGGAGCACCACCACCCTACCCCTGCACAGCTGATCCTCCATGGGATATGGAGGTTTTGGCACAGAGGTCACAGCCAATCCTTGTAGCTGATTGGCCTGGGTATATCCTTCCTATTGATCTGCCAACAGCAAACAAGGCTCAGCTACAGGAGGAGGATATATTCAGCCAACACAAAGGACATACCTGAAGCAACCAGCTTGGGGGATAGGGGAGGCTGTTCCACTGGACCTTACAGGACACCTACTACATCAGGCCATACTACCAAGACACAGAGTCAAAGAAGCTCAATTTAATACACAGAAACAAAACCAAGGAGGCTGCCAAAATGAGGAAACAAAGAAACATGATCCAAATAAAGGAACGGATCAAAACTCCAGAAGAGCTGAACAAAATGGAGATAAGCATTCTATCAGATGCAGAGTTCAAAACACTGTTTATAAGGACGCTCAAGGAACTTAGTCAGGACCTCAACAGCATAAGAGAGATCCAGTCAGAAATAAAGGATTTACTAATTGAAATAAAGAAAATTTACAGGGAAAAAACAGTAGAGTGGATGAAACGGAGAATCAAGTCAATGATTTGGAACATAAGGAAGCATAAAAGAGAAGAGAAAGAGCAAGAAATTAGAAACCTATTTCAAAATATAATGAAAGAAAACTGCCCTATTTGTTGAAGGAAATAGACAGGCAAGTCTAGGAAGCACAGAGAGCCTCAAACAAGATGGATGCAAAGAAGTTCACTGCAGGACACATCATAATTAAAGCCTCAAAGGTTAAAGATAAAGAGAAAATCTTAAAAACAGCAAGAGAAAACAAGTTAGTTACCTACAGGGCAGTTCCCATAAGACTATCAGCTGATTCCTCAAAAGAATCTTTGTAGGCAAGAGGAATTGGCAAGGAATATTCAGAGTTATGTAAAGCAGGGACCTACAGCCAAGACTGCTATACTAGCAAAGCTATCATTTAGAATTAAAAGGCAGATAAAGAGCTTCCCAGACAGGGAAAAACTAAAGGAGCCAATCATCTCCAAACCATTATTATATGAAATGTTAAAGGAACTTATTTCAGATAAAGGAGATCAAAACTATGAACAGTAAAATGGCAAAAGATGCATATCTATCAACAATTGAATCTATAAAACAAACTAAGCAAACAAGAAGAACAGAGACAGAATCCACGCATACAGAGAGCATTTTGATGGTTGCCAGATGGGAGGGGGGAGGAGGGACAGGGAAGAATGGGTAAAGAGGTGAGGTTATCAAGAAGTACAAATAAATTGTTATAGAATACCCAAGGGGATATGAAGTACAGTGTAGGAAATGAATAGCCAAAGAATTTATATGCCTGACCCATGAACATGGACAATGGTGGGGGAATTGCCTGAGAGAGTGGGGTGTGCTGGGTGGAGAGGGGACAAAGAGGAAAAAATCAGGACAACTGTAACAGCATAATCAATAAAATATAATAAAAAAGAAAATATCAAAATTAAGTATAAAAATGAATTGCAAAGGTACAGGATTGCATTAAAGAAAGCCCATGACAAGCATAGAAATAGAAAACAACATATTAAGAATGTAAGAATTGATATTTTGCAAGTCAAATATCTCACTAGGTGATGTTGAGATAATAAACTTTCGATTGTATTTGTTATTTTTTACTGAAGACAGTGTTTTGCAAATTTATCTAAGTTGTATTGAATAATATATATTAGCAGCTCTTGTGATTTTATATATGGAAAAAGTAAATGAATAGAGATCTTTATATCAGTGGGATATTGGGTGTGAAATCATACATCAGTAACTGTTAAATTTAAGATGTGGTTGGTCCTAGAATGTCTGAGCGGGGAGAAAGGACCTGGGTCAGTGGTACTGAGGTTTGTCACACAGAGAGGTTTCCTCTGTCCTTCCCCACGCCCTCGTGGTAATAAGGAAAACCTCAGCATGTGTGAGACTGTGGGTGTCACAGAGGGTTAGTACATTAAGACTCTGAGCAAGAGATCAGGTAGAAGGGGTTGATCACTTTAAAATACGAGGAAGGGGATGAGAAGAGTGTGCCAGGTGACAACACAGTACGTGTTGCCAGTATGCCGATCAACCTCCCTAAGGAGTCCCTCCCCCATGGGCTTGCTGTGACAAGAGTCACATTGAATGAATGGAAAGAGATGGACGACACCCTTCCCCATTAGCAACCACTCTACACACAGAAGTGTGTGTCAGCCCCCCGTGTTCAATGCTGTCACCCATATTTACCTATCTTTTCACCCCTCTGGTGTTGGTGCATTTTTACATGCAGCAGTCCCCTCCACGACGTGCACATGCTGACAGAGAATGGGTGGGACCCCCTTATTCACTATGCAAGCAGGCTAGGAGGGCTGTCACCTTGCCTTAGTGGATATCTGCATATCACCATCCCCTTGTCTTTCTTGCACAGTGACCGGGTCTTGTTCCCACCTACTGTAGGTGTCTCTGGAAAAGGACCAACTGCCCAGCCTTCCCTGAGCTTATGGCTGTGAAACTGAGATGTGATCTTTGCCATGTAAGGAAATGTTTTTCTTTTTAAGTTTTTTTAAAATTGTTGTTCAATTACAGTTGTCCCCATTTTCTTCCATGTATCTCCCGTGCCCTACCCCCATCCCACATTCAACCCTCCTTTCCCTGTTCTCTTTTTCCACGGGTCCTTTATACATATTCCTGGACTTGACCCTTCCCCTTCTTTCCCATACTCTCCCCCATTCCCCACCCCTCTGGTCATTGTCAGTTTGACTGAGGGGAGCACTAGCCTCCTCTGGAGGTCAACTGGAATATTCCATCCTTGCCCCTCCAGTGTCGCTAGACTCTTCCTTGCTGCCTGAAAACGAACCCAAAGTCAAAAGTCCACTGCCCTTTGATGACCATGAACCACAAGTAGCTGAGAGGAGACTTAGAAGTGTGGACCCAGATGACCTCAGGTCAACTTTGCTCTTACTTCTCACCTCAGAAGTTTATTTGGGGGAAATAAGCCTTTGTCTATTAAGTCTCAGTGATTTGATCATTCTATAAATACATTGAACAGATTCCTACAGAATCTCCTCCCATGCCATCTATGGTCACATTAAGATGATATCATTTCCAGAGATTCCTCTTACACATCCTCTCGTCCCCATTTCTACTCATGCCCCTGGAGTACCTTAGTCCCACTGTCTGGACTGTCCTATCAGGGACTGTGGTCCATTCCTGGGGAGCAGCCTCAGAGCAGGTTCCCATCAGTGCAGACGCGGCCCTTCCCCCACGGGAACCTCCCAGGGCTCTCCCTGCAGGTCTGCTCCTTTTCACTCAGGGCTTCCCGGTTGGACTTGAACCACTTTTCCTCCTCCCCGCTCTGTTTGTGCTGCACTGGCCATCTGCTGTCCTCAAATACACAGAATTCCTTCCTTGCTTAAGTCATTTCACTTGAACATCATCTCTCTCTGAAAGCCGTCCTTCCAATGATCATGGGGCTGCCTCACACTTTGAGGGCTTATGTGTTAACTTCCCTGCTGGGCCTTCCTGTGCAACGCCCACGCATGAGCAATGGTCTGTTATTTTCTGTGGTGAGTCATCTGATGTCCCAAACAGCATCACTCACACTCACTGATTACCTGGTCCTCTTGTTTTTGTTTTGTTGTTGTTGTTGTTGTTGTTGTTATTCTCATAGTCTGGTGCATAAGCTTTAGTTTTTCTTGAAAGCAGTTTTGTTTTTTAATGCCTATGAATATGTTTAGTTCCCCATACTCACTGAGGGATGAATGGTCAGTGTTTAAACCCCTCCACTTGTAGAAAAAGCAGGAGAAAGAACAGCTTTCAGGTCCCCTGGCTGTCATGTCAGATGGGCTCACTAGTTCATGAGTTCCTGTCCACATTCAGGGATCACGGCCTCTCTGTAGACATAGAGGACTCCTGTTAAAGCTCAGCTCTAGTATTTCATGATTTATAATACAATTCCATTAAATTTACTTTCAAAATTCCAAACTATATCCACAAATCAACTTATAGAATCCTGCCAACTTAATGAGAAAGCCGGATATTACTTTATATTAGAGTCTTAATTCATACCATTATGGCACTAATGCATAAACTTATATGTGAAATGTTTGTGAACTGTGTGTGTGTGCATGTGTGTGTATGCTAATGGGCAATCAGCTTATTTTTTAAATATAAGGTATATTTTAATTTCTTTCAATGAATACATTTAGCATGATTTCAATGTAAATACTAAACAAACATGATTCTGAACTTTTGTTTTATTTAACATCATTTAGTGACATTCATGATGAATAGTTCTACTGTTACTTACTTCAATAAAGTGACATAATCTATTGATTATTAAAAATTTAAAAGTGCTTAGACACAATTAGAGTGGAATTGCATTTATGCCTTTAAGACAAAAAAGCCTTGATACACTCAGCTTGAGATTTGATACATAATACTTTCCACAGAGATAAGTCTTGGATTCAGAAAATCATAAACAGATTGTATCTTGGAGGAGCTTTCTTTTTGATGCATTTGGGAGGAGGCGACCAACCATTCTCCATACACGTCATTGTGGTCTGCTGGTTTGGGAGACTGTAATCAGGATGGCAGGTAACGCTTACAGACTGACCCTGTAAATATGTTTGTCCATCAGGTGGGGAATGTCCATGCTCCAAATAATTGAAAACACATTTTCCTAAGAATGATGAAATGATAATGAAAAAACACATTGGTTGATAAAAATGATAAATTAAAAATTATCTTTATGATATATAAATTAGAATGCCTTTAGAATTAGAATGCATTAGAATGCATAAGCATCCAAAAGTGACTCATAGAGTAAGAACAAGTAAAGCTGCTACTAAATGTTTTTAAAAAGAAAAGAAATCAATAGTAAATATAATTTATCTGTAGATCACAATTAGAATATATATAAATGACATAGAAATTCTGTAGTCGATTTTTGTCTCTCATGTTTTCATGTTTTTGATGAAGAACATCTCACAAAACAAACAAACTGTATTGGTCTTTCTGCTCATAGAACTTTCCCCTTGACCTATGTTTGTCATGCAGGCTTAATTGTCCTCACTTGTTTAGTTCCCCTCCTCTCCAAAGTGTCCCCACGTGCACAAGGAGGAAGAGGTTTACTTACTGAGGCAGGGAACCTTAGGAGACCATCCCTCTGGTGTACAAGTGATCGTAGCCCAGTTCAGCTGTGTGAGAGGAGTCACATAGTAGTCCTCACAGGCATAGTAATACCATTGTCCCACAGGAGTGGGAAAATGTTTTCTGTATACGTCTTCCCTATAGAGGACTCCATGTTTTATTTCTGGAAATTCACAAGACTTAACTTGCAGTGGAGATAAACAAACAAAAAAACCAGCATAAATTATGTTTTCCTCTAATAGAATCTACTGAGAGATAAATGGTTTCCCAGATGAATTATGTTATTAACATAGTTATACTCATTGCATTAGGGTTTGTAGGACAGGAAAGGTTGTAAAATCAGATGATGTAAAGAGCACATGTTTCTGGTCATTTCACGGCATGTGCACACGCAGAGTCTGTCTGTTGTACACCTGAAACAACACAGTGCTGCCTGTCAGTTCTGTCTAGGTGAGCACACACTCTCCTGGTACTGGTCAGGCTCACTGAGGTCTGTGTCACTGTGATGCCAGCATCCTCTCCAAGGGCATCACACTGTCACATTCATGTGGACATTTGTCCTGAACTGACACTGAGGCCATTGACCTCCTATTAGCATGATTTTGTTTTTCACTCATGGAGTGTCCAGCTGCAACATGGACACCTCTCAGCGACCTGATACGTGAGCAAGAGGAACATGAAGGTGGAGATAGAAAGCTCTTGGAAAGAAGCCAAAGAAACCTCCCCAGAAATAAATGCCCTGCTGTACTGAGTGGCACTTTGTGACATGTGATGGTGTCAGAAAATGAACAATGTCTCCCACTCTCCTCCCTCAGAGAAAGAGCCCACTGCCCCCACCTTTGAGTGTGGGCTGGACTTAGAGACACTCTTCTAAGGTATGAATGGTTGAGGTGACAAAGTGTGAGCAGGTCATAGATGGCATGGAGGTGTCCTCTTTGTGTCTCAGATCACTCACTCTGAGAACAGTTAGTTCCACTCAGGCTCCTATGGAGACCCCAGGAGGTTAGGCCCTGAGGCCCCTGCACCACTAGGGAGGTGCCCACTTGGAAGCAGGTCCCAGCTGCACTCAGCCCTCAGCCCACACTCTGGGCCAGTGTCCCAGTGCTGCCCAGAGAGTGACCGGGAACTAGGTGGCTGGACCTCTCCCCAGGGCTGACCTTGTGATCCTGAGTCAGGAGAGGGTGGTTCTTCTCAGTCAGAATGTTATGGGGAAGTTTTTATAAAGAAATACATGACTAACATACTTGTTAGATAAGACTAGTCTTAGCCAAAGTTTTAGTTCTGATACTTGAAATAAATTATTTAGAGAAATAATTATAAACACATACACATATTTAACATTGAAGAGGACAAATTAAAAGAGTTTTCAATTATAGTCGTAAGATTTTATCTTACTTAGATTCAGCCACTTTGAAAAGCAATGGATAAAATGAAATCCTCTGCTTTGCCTTTTCAGCAAGTCAGGAAGGGAGACGTATTGCATCCTCATTTTTATGTTTAAGAGAAGTAATTTCAGAATTAGGAAGCAGGTCATGATTTGAATGGAACTTACGGATACATCTGGGAGGAGGTGCCCAGCCTCCATCAGTGCATCTTGTCTCATTCCTTCGGGTTAAAGGAGAAAAGCCATTGTCACAGCGGTATGTGATTACATCTTCCAGTCTGTATTTGGTCCTGTTCTGTGTGTAGAGACCATGAGCAATAGTTGGAGGATCACAGGTTGTTTCTGAAAAGAAAAAGGACAGGTGGATAATGCAGAAATCACTGCCCAGGAAAAGAGTCAAGTCCATATAATACAGTGAATGTTGACAGAATGACTCAGACAATTTGGGGTATCAGCTAGCTTTTCTGCCTCCTATTTTCCAGTCAAGTTTTCATGAGCACATTCACACGAATCTCTAATATCTGTGCAGGGGCTTTCAGCCTCTAGAACACAGAAGACAGAAAACTACTTGTTTTATTTTCCCTGGAGATGAATATATGACAATCTTCCTACAAGATACTCTCTGTTGTGAAGTCACAATACACCCTGTTCCTACGAGCTGATTCCCTAAACTCAGAGACACAAGCAAGTAGGAATAACAAGAAGTTGCAGGGAGCTGGTGTGCAGCTCTGTGTGCAGCTTACCTTGTCCATGAGCCTGGGAGACCCACAAAGTGACAATGACACTGATCAGGGACAGCAGCATGTTGGGCATCCCCGATGGTGTATTAACAAAAATATCCCAGCCGTGCTCCGTGGTGTTGTGACTCTGCCTTGTGAGAGGTTGTTAGTGTGAGCCTGAATTTAAAAGCACTACCAGGATGCTAATTTGTTGAGGTAACTTAGTGAAAATCAAAGGTCAGAGGGTTTTGCAAGATCTGTACATTTTTGTTAATGATTTCACAATCATTTCTTGACTTCATTTTCTCATTGTTCTTGTGAAACTTTTCTTAGAACTAGTAACACACCTGATCCAACAGTGATATGGAACACTAATTAAAATTAAACAACTCTTAGACTGGGCGAGGTTCTTTCTCCAGCAAGAGGTGGAGTGTGAATAACTCCAAGTCCATGTCCCAGTAACTGTCCCTTGTCCTGTATGTGTCCTCACCCAGCCTCAGTCCTTAGGGTCTGTGAGCGACAATCCGTGTATCTGGACTCACCTTCTTGTCCACAGAAAAGCACTGATTTTTTTGTAAACCCATAATACACTACACCACAGAGTACAAGAGTTTCAGTGCATCCTGGGCATTGAGATATTCGTAATTGATGTGCTTTGAGGTACCTTGTCATGTCAGGTGCACTACATTCAGAGGCTTACAATAGAAAAATGGGAGGTGCGAAGTCTAGCCCTGAGTACATTTGAGACTGGTTACTAGACAGGGCTTCAATTTGACAGGAATGTCAATGGTTCTTCACATGCCTTCACCATAAGCCTTGAGAAAATGAAAATTCAGTTCCTATGTTCACTTTGAATCAAATATATTGTTCTATGACTAGGTATTATAAGATTCACAACTTTCAAATAATTTATTATTCTTGTCAAACAGAAGAGCAATTGCCCGACACTGTGACACAGTCTCAATCACACACAGGGGAGCAGGACGAAGGATGGATCTATGTCACCCTCACAAACTCCTTCCCTGGTCCAGGGACCCCCTGCTGACAGCAGCAAGGGGACAGAGTGACAGGCCTGTTCTCACTCACTGTTTTACCATCTAACGTTTTCATTGTGTTGGCTCCCCCAGTAAATCCTAAGCTCACATGTGTTCACAGTTAAAACTCCAATGCAAGATGCACAAAGCCACACTGTCATCCATACTGAGCTCAATAGTCTCTAGGCAACTAGTCCAGTCCTTGAAATGGTGAATAATGATTGTCTTGGTACAAGTGTAAACAATGACACAGTTTATTTTAACACCTTTGGGAGAAGATTAGTTTGAAACTTCAGACTACCGTATTGTACTGATTTCCCTGAAATAAGATAGAAAAGAGCAGGAAATGTCTGAGATTTTTAAGCAAGCAAGTGTTGAGGCAGTGTGGGCTGCAGGTGGAAGCTCCTTCATTCACATCTGGGCAACTGCACTGTCCCTTCCCCACACACGGCTCCAAGTGACTGCCCTGATGTCATTGCACTGTGTCCCGGTTTACATGTAAATTCTGATATCCCCTGTTTTTGCGTAGTGTGTCTGGTCCATTTTCCCTTTCAACTGTATGTCATTTTCATTCAGGGTTTCTTCAGATATGACACAGGGATCTGAAAGTAGACAAAGAAATAAAAGCAATGAATAATCTTTCCTTTTGTGGACTAAGAAAGCTCTCAGCTAATGACTAGTTGAGGACAACATGAGATGATGATGTAGTCTCAATGGCTAATATTTATTAATGTGGGTTAAGTGCTGTCCTTGGCACTTCCTGTGACATCTTCCAGCTCCTTCATGAGGCAGCTACTGCTACTCACACACAAGGAAACTGAGGCAAGGGCAGTTCAGTCACACTGTCCAAGGTCACAGAGCTTAGCAGGGGGATGATGAGTGTGGACCCTGGCATCTGACTCCAGAGCCTTGACCTCTGTCTCTGGTGTGCACAGCACCTGTAAGTGGATCCTAATCAACAAAACCAAGAAGCAAGCAAAATGGAACCAGAGGCATGGAAATAAAGAACAAACTGACAGTGGCCAGAGGGGAGGGGAGAGAGGGAGCACATGAGATGGCCATCAGGGAATGTGGATGAAGGACCCATGGATGAAGCCGGGTGGTGTGTTGGAAGGTGGGAGGTGGGGTGAAAATGGAGACAATTGTACTTGAACAACAATAAAAAAAACAACTAAAAAGAATCTGCAAACTACAAATAATGTCTTTAGAGCTTTTATTTTACCTTTTAAACCTGTGCCAAATTGAGTAAGAAGAGACTATGATATCATGTGTGCCTGACATATGAGCACTTTGTACCCAAAACAATCTTATTCTAGAATAAATATAAATATACTGCAAAATAGTACATTTGTACATATATAGATGCATAAATCATCTCTATATCCATCCATCCACCCACCCAATACTGCATTACATTTTATCTATCATCTATCTATCTATCTATCTATCTATCTATCTATCTATCTATCTATCTATCTATCATCTATCTAATCTTTTTCATTCTCTATGATCAGGACAGGCTGCAGAGAAGCACAGATATACACATAGAGGAGATGTGAATCCCATCCTGATTATGAACAAATTTCTTTGCCTCACTATATCCCGGTGTACTCTGGTGTAAAAATCAGTATAAATGTTTCCTTTTTTGAAGTGTTTTGTGACATCAGAGTTTCTAGTTTATTGCTATTGCAATGTGACTGCAAGCAGTATTTCATATGTTACAATATTGTTGTAGACCTTGTCTCTTTCTGTAAACAAGCTGCTACTGCATTGTAGAAATTAGTACATGTGAGTAACTTTAACTTTCTTCTGTTGAGTGTGCTGGGGAGGTGTTGGAGAATAAGATTATAAAGCTTTCGGGGGTGCGATTCTCTGCCACATCATCTGGTGTCCACCTTCCTAAGTCAAATCTTTTTCTGTCACCAGGTAGTTGAACCCCTTTCCCTTTGTACCCCCCCTTGTCCTATCCCTCTAGAACCACTATACTGTTGTCTGTTCACTAGTTTCTGTTTGTTGTTTTTCTAGTTTGTTCATCCATTTCTTTCAGTTTTATGTCCCATGTATGAGTGAAACCGTGTGGTTCATGTCCTTTTCTGTCTGACATTTCACTCGCATGATATTCTCAATGTCCATCCAGGTTGTCACAAATGTCAGTGTTTCACCTTATAGCCGAGAGGTATTCCATTGACACGTGTACGCATCTTTATCCAATCATATACCAAAGTTTGAACACACTGTGGTCTCCTCTGTCTCTTCTGTTCACCCCAGTGTGTTGCATTCTAGTTCTACCATCACTGACATTGGTGAGGCCTTAGAAAAAGCTCCACTTATGTCCCCACACATGCCATTAACTCTTACAGGATGAAACTTCATAAAAATTCACATCACTTGGGATATTCATAGGTTTTCAAAGTCCAACAAACATTCTCATGCATGTTAATAATCAGAAGTATGTACTATATGAGGTCTACAACCTCCACACATCCATTCCAGGAATTTTCTTTCTGCTTTTCTATTGAACTTTTCTTTACATTTCCTGAGTTTTAGTAAGAGAGGGAGGGAGGAATAGAGGGGAGAGAGAAATTTCATCAGTGGCCCCCTGCACACATCTCGGGACATATATGACCTGACTGGGATTCAACACTTGAAATTTCCAATCAGTGACTCAGAATGCAGTCTGATTTCTCTGTCACAGAATTGCTTTTGTGTCCTCAGATATTGATAACTGGTTCCCATTCTTTGGACACTATATCATTTTAATTCTTTCTATCCATGAAACAGCATGTGCTTCCACTTATTTGTATTTTCTTCAGTATCTTATAATTTTCTTAATACAGGTCTTTTACATCCTTGGTTAAATTTATTGCTACGTATTGAGGTTTTGAAGCAATTGTAAATGGAAGTGCTTTCTTAGAGATATCGCCTCACACCTGTCCAAATGCCTATCATCAATAAATCAACAAGCCAGAAGTGCTGGAGAGGATGTGGATGAAAGGGAACCCTTGTGCACTATTGGTGGGAATGAAGACTGGTGCACCGCTGTGAAAAACAATATGGAGATACCTCAAGGAATGAAAAAGAAAGCAGCCTTATGGCCCAGTAATACCTCTTTCCAGTCTTTATCCAAAGAATCCTAACACTAATCAGAAGGATACATAACCCTCTAAGTTCCCAACAGTGTTATTTACAATAGCCAAGATTTGGAAGCAGCCCATATGTCCATCAGTAGATGAATGGATAAAAAAAGCTGTGGTACATTTACACAAAGGAATATTACTGTATAAAAGAAGGAAATCTTACCTTTTATGAGAGCACAGATGGACCAGAAGAGCATTAGGCTAAGTGAAAAAAGCCAGTCAGACAAAGACAAGCATCATACGATTTCACTTATATGTGGAATCTAATGAACAAAATAAACTAACAAAGTGGAGACAGACTCTTGGATACAGAGAACAGACTGACAGCTATTGGAGGGGAGGTGGTTGGGGGCTGGGTAGACTCATGGACATGGACCACATATGGTAATTGTCAGGGGGAAGAGAGGTGAGGGGAGGTAGAACAGGGTAAAAGGAGGATGAATGGTGATGGATGGAGGATGACTCAAGGTGGTGAACACAATGTAATCCTACAGATGATGTATCATAGAATTGTACACCTGAAATCTGTATAATTTTATTAACCTAGTCATCCCAATAAAAGCATTTAAAAAGCCAAAAAAATCATCAAGTCCGAACCTTCCTGTTTTAATTAAACTTTGTCATTCTTTACTTAGGAATTTTCTCAGCGTCTCGTCTTATACATAAGTATCAGAATGTCCAACCTCTGGCAAGACAGCTGTCTGAGAACACAGGTCTAGAACATTACTCCACGAATATTACACTATTAGCACATAAACATTAATTTTCTCTGGATCCAGAAGAACTTTTAAGAACTTACTTATACATTTCGGGGGTTCGGACCACTTAGCATCATGGCAGGTTACATATTTAGGACCCTGAAGTTCATAGTAGGCTTGACATTGGTATTCAACTCTTGACCCAGGAGGGTAGGCAGTTGGTGGGAAGGAGGTGATGTCTCCATTGCCAACAGCTGGAGGATGACTGCACTTTTC